GCTAAACAAACCTTTAAGCAGACTTATTCACAAGGGATATAGTTACGATACTGTTGTCAAGTCATTAAAGATGGCATTTGAAATAATGTTTCACTCATAGGGTCTTTTGCATCGGAAATAAACACATGTATTCTAAAACCAGTTGTTGTCATGACATGGGTTATGTTCTTCTCGTAAAATTTATGATTGTATGATATGAAACCCCAAACGGGAGGGCTTGTGGTTGATTTTTATATGATGAAGACATTATCTTTCGATCAGTCTTTTTGAGGTCTGGAGCTGGCATGTCAGTATCTAATATTATTCCTTTATTAATTTATCTTGATCAGTGTCATTTTTCTTCTGTTACCTATTCTAACATCGGACTCGAACTTCTTTTAAAGGGGAAATTCGCGATTTTTTACTTATCATCTTATTATGTTCATAATACCATAAAAAACATATTCACCAAGTTTTATCTGGATACGAACACTAATAAAGAAGTAAATTGGGAATTATTAATTTTATTTATTCGAACTTCCTGACTACTGTGACGTAGTTTAAGTCTAATTGCATGCCGGGAGTGGATTTAATCTCATATTAAGTCTTGTTCGTTAATCATCTAATAACGAGATTTAAAGCGCAACGACGACTATTTTGCGTATCTATTAACCAACAAATAATTAAGTGAGTAAAGTGATCAGCCGTGCAACTTTTTAAATTAAAATGTACGATTTATATTTTAGGGATTTCTGATTTGATTATAGTAATAAAAGTAAATCATACAATAGAATATTTTTATGATTTTTTTTTCAGACGGATATGTTGAACAAACATATAGGCCTATAACTGATAGTGTAAACAAAATGCATGTTTGTATTCTCACCTTTTACTTCAGTTCAACAAACATTTCCCGCTAGTACTGTGTAAATACAATGTGTATTATACTCTGACACTACCTGGTAAAGGCGTGGTTGAATTTACGACAATTAAAAGATTAGCATTATGTTATTTCGATCTTCACAAGAGGGTTGTTTGGCCTCAAGGGTTCACGTTTCAGGTTTGAAAAACATAAAAAAAAAATGATAAAAGAGAAGTACGAGTTTGATACAGAAAAAAAATAAATTATTTGGGGAGGAATATGGTGGCAAAATACCTGAATCGCTGTTATATATATTTTTTTATATTTTGCTTTAGCTCAGTTTTTAAATAAATAGGTGGGTATTTTGTTGTAACATTGAAATTCTGAATTACTTTCAATTAAATAATTTTATAAATAAAAATGGCCCACGAAAACGAGCGTATAAACCAAAATCTACTATTCTAAATTATCATCGGTAACCTTGAATATTTAAATGTGCAGAGAAAATTATCAGTTACATTAATATAGTTTGGTCCGTCCGAAGCGATTTTCATTTACCTAATCGGGAATGCCCTTATTAAATTATTTAAAATCTCATAACGTATAAATGCTTTAACTATTTGACCAACGATGTTTAAAAAAAAATTAACAGAATCAATCCAACGTCAACTTACCTTTTTTGAATGGAGACAGACCGGCGGAATAAATTTTCAATGTGCTTTATATCTTGTACCTTTGCAAGACTTATCATTCATTCATAAACCCACTCTAAACCAGAGACATATATACACATATATATGTCTGTCTAAACTGACAAGAAAACTCTTAAGCGGACAAGCAGTATATTCTTTAAATTTCTGTGATTTAATATAAAGAAAGAAAAAAATCCCGAAATTAATTTGATACTCAATATTTTTCCTGGAAAATATTCACATCCTCATTCGGTCTGAAAATAAGATAAAAATTTGGTATACAGAACATGTAGAAGTGTGAATGTCATAAAACCTTGTTATATTAGATACCATTATAATTGTGAACCTGTATACGTAAAACCTCATGGGACGCCACCTAACCACATACAGGTAATATACAAGTAGCTCTGTTATACCCGGAAATGTCAAGGTTAATCACTACCGATACAGAATGTACCAATGCAAAGAAAATTCTGATGATTTTGAAGCATGACCATTCATGATTTTAGAGGAGTCTTATATGGGGGATTGCCGGAACGATTTAAATTCTGACTAGATTTTTTTTCTCAATTTAAATCACTGAACTAAAAAAAAAAAGAAGAAAACTACGTCAAAGATCATAATTATTCTTATAAATTCATAAATACAACGTTCTTATTTTATAACTTTCGATAGACTTGACCTCCACCCCCCCCCCCCCCCCCCCCCCCCGAACCTGGGAACAGTATATCGAACAATGTATATGTTCCTGCCCAAATCAAAATAAAAAGAAGAAAAAAGAAAGAGATGAACGGTAAGTCACATCAGATTCAGATATTTATATAGTTGATTGTCGTTAACTAGAGATACATACATGTCTCTGCGTTAACTTATAAAAATAACAGGAAAATATAAACTTGAAATAGGTTTAAGATGAATACTATGCAACTGCGGCACCCCTTTTTATCACAGCGTACATGCATGTATTTTAATGACTGTCCGTTATTTCGATTAAGAATGACAATTGTACGTGAAATCCTATAGTTGGTGAGACTTTTTCTACCAGATATGCGACTTTTCGTATTTATATTTTCTCTTATTACTCTCATTTAATATTTTATGCATAAGTGCAATATTGGGAATAGTTTATTCCCACACAAGCTAATTAAATAAATTAATCAACCCTCTAGCTGATCAGACGTTAATACAACTACTATCAGTCTATCCGGAGTGCAGTTTCTTTATTTTTTCAAATAGGTTTTTTGGGGATCATTAGTATACGTCCAGTGGCATATATCACATGCATGTCGGAACAGGATAATTGACATACGGTACTATTAGAACCATGTTCACGTTATTATACATTGTACCCAACAATTGTGATGATGACGATTTCATAAACTGTTCGAGAACAATCTAATTGTAATATGAATCTGTGATTTTACTATGTCCATAATTTTGATGAACCAAAGCAAGTTAGACATCGACCTGTATTTAAATCAGATTGGTTCTTGATGTTTCTCTCTTATATTCAATATACATGTATATATTTGAAATTGCGACTATCTATAGTTCCGTAACTTTCTATCTAGGCGTATAAACCAATGATCGACAAGTGCGTACATTTTTGTTAAATCAATATTTGTATGTTTCAAAATGTCCGCAATTATTGACAATGAGTATATACTTACATTTTCCCCAATTTACCCTTGGTAAAAATGTAAATAGATTTTTATTTTATCAAATCTTTTTTTGGAATTATTTAGATTTTCATAAATATCATTCTTAACACCAGAAATGATATTTATAAACAAGCGTATAAGTTTAATAATGACAAGTATATCACTATCGGACACGCAAGACAAAGATGTATATTACACCTGATAGTTTTTAAATGGAAAGTTACAAGTTATCGGCCGTGTACACTGATCAATACCCTCAGAATTGAAGCGATGCATGAACTTGCATTATGTAATTGTGTTATAAGAGTTTTTAAACCCGACAGGAAATCGGTGAATACCTGGACGTGTCACCTCACAATACTTCTGGGAATAATTCCTTTAGCCATGCTGGTGATCAGATAAGGGAAGGTCCGAATTTATTTAAATAAGTTTATTACATAAAAGAATTATGAACAAATTAGATTTTCGAAAACAATCTTACACGGAACACTTATTTATGACTTTGAACTTTTTAACTAATTCCCATTTAAATTTCTTGTTTCAAAAACTTAGACTATTATATGTTGCTACAGTAGTCTCAGCAAAAACTTAGTAAAAAAAAAAACAGTTTAAAAACGACAGACCATAGTTATTTAAAAAAATAATATCATTTTCCGTATCAAGTTAGTTAGGAAAGGTTGCACAACCATGTCTATTATAATCATTTTTGTGACCCGGGAAACTGTTTATGCTTTCCTTGTCGGATAAAACAACCGTACGCTTGACAAGATATCGACACTCAATTACGACTACGTTAGGTTACTGCTTGTTTTGGTCCTTTGTGGTTTATAGATATCACGTGGTTTCTTAAACCGGGAAGATGTCAAAATGGCCACATGTAACCCGAATAATTCAGTCCCTCCCCGTGATCGACTCTCCCACTCGCGAGGTTAATGTAGACATCGTAGAGCAGTGGAATATAACGACTGAATTATTCAGGTTAGGACACATGCAGAGAATTGATACTCTCAATTTAAAATCGATGGTGATCTCTTATCTAGCAGAATAAAACTTTAATATTTATGAATTTATGCTTTTTTATACATAATGAACATAATATCAATTTTTCATTTTTTTTTGCGAAGTTTCCCTTTAAACTGAGTTTACTGTGCGTATTGGTGTGTGTTTGTTTATTCCACATTGGCTAGAGGTATAGGGGTAAGGTTGAGATCTCACAAAACATGTTAAACCCCGCCGCATTTTTGCGCCTTGTCCAAGCCAGGAACCTTTAGCCTTTGTTAGTTTTGTGCGTTTTTTTTAACATTTTGGTTCATAAAATGTTTTTGAGTTTAGTGTGGCGTTCATTTATCTGAACTAGTATTCATTATTGTTAGGGGCTAGCTAAAGTCCGCCTCCGGGTGCGGGTTTTTCTCGCTGCGTTGAAGACACATTGGTGGCCTTGTGTAGTTTTTTTCTGCTCTCTGATAGGATTATTGTCTCTTTGAAACATTGCCCGTTTCCGTTCTCTATTCTACATGGTAAATTAATTAAGCTTCTGAGATCATTAATAATTGATGTGTTTCCACAAAGGCGGAGTTTCGACAAGATCAGTAGCAACTGACTTAGAGAAAGGTAAAGTGTGATGTTACTACTCCTACCAGAAAGAAGTTTTTATGCATAGTGTGTATATTTTCTTCATATGTTTAGAATTGTGGTGATGGAGTCCTTTCTTCTGGCCAAAACTTAATTGATTTTTTGATTAAAGGCATATCTAGAAATTTCCCCATGGTACACGTGTGAATTATATTGAAGTAAATGATCGTGACGTAGAAAAATTTTAATTTATTTGATTCTGTCACGTACATTTTGATATGAAAAGGCAATCTTAAATGAAATTAGCTCCTAGATGTGTGCCTCTATAAGTCTGATTTTGGTGCATGTTTTTTTTTTACAAGTTATCTTAAACAACCGTGCCTCCGATGTACAATAGCATCAATATCACAATTTGTATACCCAATTACTTATGAATAAAGGTTGGTAACTTTGTTGGAGGTTAAATTAGAGAATGATATGCAATAGAAAAAGTCCGAGACACGGTTTTGGAGGTCAAACTGTGCTTCATAAAAATCTATCAAACAGTTTGGAATCCCATGAAAAGCAAAGAAGCTAATTTCATTCAAATGTGTACATCACAATCTAGCAACTTATAACATTATAATCAATTGCATAATGATCATATAATAATAGATTATACACATTTGATAGATAAAACTTTGCTTTCTATTGATTCTTCCTTTATTCTTTTAGCTGTATGAAAGAAATAACACAAGTATGAAGTTGCCTTAAAAGATAACAAAATGTAATGTATTGTATTGTATTTTGCTACCTTAATCTGAAATTTTTAAAGTTATGTGTCCTACCAGCAAAATCACTATTGGGCAAAACATATGAAGTAAAGACATGAAATGCCATATAACCCTATTTTATTTGCATGCATATTTTTCAATTTATTTCACATGAAAACCTAATGACTTAATATGCATGTTATCTCTTACAAATAATTCACAAACTTTGTATGGCAACTGTTTCTATAGTAGAATGTTACGAATTTCACACAATTTGTAGGAAAAGTCGTGCATGGAACTGTCCAAGTAGTACATCTAAACATTTGGAAACACAATAATGAAAATATATCATTAATAATGTTGTGACATTTGTTGTAGTATTTTAGGAAAAAAACATTTCTTAAATCACTTGTTTTTAATACACAGTGTTATAAAATTTAGGTAGTGTTATGTCAATTGTTTTGCATTTTGAATATAACTTCGATGGTATACATGTATATAAATAATTTTTCACAAGCATTTTCAACTAAAACTAGAGCCAAGACAGAATGTTATTTCGGCATGGTCTATGCAAAGTTATATTATAACTATCATTGATAAACATGACAATGTCTTTCCAACGATGCTAATACTAAAATCGTACAAAAATTGTATCAATCCATTTTATTATTTGAATTAATGTATACGTTTATATGTTTTTTTGCTGTCAGTGAGAATTCAAAGATTTTTCCTGTGTTTGTATCTGTATACAGTAGATACTTAGTTTCGGTTTCTTTATATCCAATACATTTTGGGACGTTTATACCATCTTTTTCGTCAATAAGTAAGGTAAGCTTTCCACTTTTAGAATCAATTTGATAGATAAAATTGGGGTTCTGGCAAGCTAATATAATATTTTTTTCGCGAAAAAATGCTGTGTTAGAAACATAAAGTATGCCTTTGGGACACGAAACATGGGTGTCCCACAGAGTATCTCCTTTGAAGTTAACGCAGTAAACGGCATTTTTATCAAATAATGATATAAATATACACCTTTCACTAAAGCTGAGTGCGACTTCAACAGAATTTTCGGTGAAATCACCGAATCTCATCTCAGAGTTCCAGATAATATGTAGATTTTTTCCTTCTGTATTCAAAATACCAAAACGCCCATCTTGTCCTAATCCAACTCTAACTACAAAAAGGTCTTTATTGTATGCTATATTTAAGGGTTCACCTAATGTTTTCAGTTCGATTTCCTTGCCCGTATAAATTATTTTATCTGATAAGATTTGTAAATACAGTATCCTATCTTCATTTGAAAAAATTGCTGCAACGACATTGTTGTACAGCGAGGTGACACCAATCAGTTTTGATTTAAGTTCATTAATACTATGCCACTTATTCTCCTCGTCTAGAACCTTCAGGGAATTGTTTTCTTTGTCGACAATCAACAACTGGTTATCACCTAATATGACTATCCTGTCAACTGTACACTTTTGATCACTTTTAATATCAAGTTCTTTCGATAGGTTCGAATCGTACATCTTTGTATACTTTTGTCTAATACCCTTACATTTAAAACATTCTTCATTATGAGAGGTTTGAGAGAAATCACGTTCAAGAGTTGAACAATTAGCATTTTCTGTCGTCCTCTTCTCACAGATCGAACATCCAGAAACTTTCTTACCTGCAAAAAAGAGGTGAGAGTGTCAAATATGGATACGACAGAACATTCATGACTGTTTATTATAACAGTGTCACGTTATATGTTATATGAACTACAAATGAGCAATACATAAAAAAAACCAGAACTATAACATAATAATACAATCATCAATAGACACCAAACAACATACGTTCTTCAAAAACAGATAGGGCCAAGATTTAAATCGTCACAAGCTTAGATTCAATTTAACAAAGACTACCATATATCTGCAATCAGTCCAAAATGTTGCCGACGTTTGTACATCCGATTGGACATCGAACATTAACGTCAGAACAGTGCAGAAACATACGATGTTGTGCAATTCATAGTGTGAACCTGTGTGCAGAATTTCCGGACAGAAAAGGCAATGAATTTTAAAAATTTTGACAAGGGAAGAAGATTCAAATAGGGCAATCATAAGTCAATGAAAGACAAATATGGGCAACCATAAGTCATGTAAAGACAGATATGGTCAAAAGAACAATAACGATAGGACAAACAACAGTTCATACTACACCACACAGAAAACTTTACTAAGAGTTTCGAGTGATACATTTGCAAATTGATATCAACTAACATATACTGATCAGCATTAAGAATTACTTTCTTGCTGTTGTGGAATTGAGTGGTATTTTACCTGAATGGAATAACATAAGCATTATATATGTATTATTTATCATTCAAAAAACGTTTTATAGCAGTTGAACTTTCACATGCCTATCCAAATTTAAAGAACTTTTTTTAATAATTTTCTTTTTCTTCAGGAACGATCACAGTAATATTTACAAGTGATTTCGGTCACAAACCATAATTTTGAAAGAAAATAACAAATGAAGCGTTTAATCAAACTTTAGTAGCAATTTGTCCCAAATCTGAATCTTTAGAAATCTGAAATAGAATTTATTACCAAAATTCCATTTTTTTTAAAAGTTAAGGCCATATGTTTGAAAGCGCCTGGAATCTTCAATCTAGAACTGTTAAAACAGATAATAAATATAAGCTTTAATCTTTAAAACAGAAGGACGAACGGACGGACGGACAGACGAACAGACGGAATAACGGACGGACGGACAGGGGTAAATGAATATGCATGCCCCTTAACATTTTTGTCGCAGGGGCATAAAAAAGATAAAACAAAACTTTATATGTTTTAAATAGATCTTTAAATACATCGCAGACTTCGTAATGTTTGATGAATATTACCAGTAACAGTTGTGGTCAGACGAATTTTAATACTTCATAACTCAATCCATAAAAAAATTCTTCTATTGCAAAACAATTGTACCGGGATAGTGATTTCTCCATAGCCTATACAATGGACGATAATAATATCATTATTCTTTCAGTTAAGATATCATTAATAGATTTCAAAATATACTTACATTTACGAGGTGATGACTTTCGTGTATTCTGTGATTTTGACCTTTCTCCAGGTAGAAAAACTACTTTCTGTCGGACTTGTTCGTAATTCGCAGCAACTGATATTAAGGGCTGCTCTCTTTCTGGTTCGTTTGTTTCATTGCCTGTTTCTTAAAGATTGCGTCACATTTAATGTACTGATCATAGAGTGAATGCACATTTAAATACATATTCATAAAGTACGTAAAAATTGGTGTTCCTCTTGAACTCGGAAATTAAAAAGTAAATGTAAATTTGCTAAATAACATTCTTCAGATGTTTGTAAGACATTAATCTTTCGGTCAATAGTATATATATATTTTTTGTTTTGTCTGACTTGTTTGTATCATGGCTTCAATCTTTTTGAATAAGTGCAAAACTCCACAAACTGTCAAAATAGCCTAATTTTGAGATTTTGTCATTAACATTGATATGAGTCCAGGCTTTACCAGAAAGATATTTTGCTACAGGATGTATTACACTGAAATGTTAATGTGTGTAAAATATATTTTTGAGGACAGCATTTTCTAATATTTAATTAATCCAAAAAAAAAAAATACCATTTTAGATCAAATATGTCAATTTCAACATGTTTATGACACCATAGTGACCTTTCTGCATTAAAGTGTCTATATTACGACATATTCTATTAACCTGCACCTAATCAATAACGTCAATTTATTTTTTAAAGGATGAAAAGCTTTTCCCATTATGCAATTTCAGGAGCCAAATAATGGCTCTTAACATTCCTCATCCTAGTCATTGTTTTTGGCATTATCATTATTTGTTACAAACATGATTATAAGTTCGAAGCTAATGATTGACCTGAACTTTAAATCTAAAACCTGTATAAAATGTTTCCAATGCTATGTAAAAGTAAACATATTATTATATTCAATTGACAATATAAATACGTATTTTCATCACATCTACTAAAGTTTAATTCATTACCAAATATTGATAGTTTATGCCTTGGACAGAACGGTGCATTTAGTTTATAAAAAGTTTTTGTTTCTAAATTCATAAAGATGAATATATAAAAGAAAATTTTGTACACTCATCATAAATGTCAAAAGTTTCAGTTCTTGTACGAATTTCATAACGCAATTGTTTTAATCAGTAAATTAAATATTCAAAATATTTGAAGCTTTTGTTTTTTGCAAATTTGAAAAAGTAAACTAAACCAAATTTAACTGTTATATATGACTACTTATTTTACAAAACTACAACACAATACACCCCAGCTATCCTTGTTCGTCATAAAAGCATTTCGATAATCTATATGCTTTCAATTCTACTGGAAACCACGACGTTGAAGGGTAATTAATTTGAAATCACACCAAAAATGACGTTCAAACCACCTAAGAGGTGCATGCTGACCGCGGATAACTTCGGAATTCAATTTCAGAATTTGAAAGCATCAATATCACAGTTTGGGAAGGGAACTATACGGGATTTTTTAAAATATTTTGTTCATTTGGTAAAAGGGGTCCAAAACAGGGTTCCGCAATTCGAAAGAATAAGTTACCGAATGAACGGTTTTCTTTACACAAATGATAGGACTATATAAATTTTCTGCTTTAAAATTTGGTAACGAAAACATTCTACATGTATATATAAACCAATCAAATAATAAAAAAAAATATGCACAAAACGTTTTCCTTAGAATGGTGTAGATCCGATTAAATAGATCAAAAACTGTCAAACAACAGCGATTAAAACTGCAAAAAACAGAAAAACCACTCGCTGCTACAACTATTATTTACATATGATCCTTTTCTGATATTTAGTCTTACTTCTATGAAAGATTTATAGCGATTTTCCTTGTAGAAAGTTCAGTAAATTCATTACGCTAATGTCGGACATTTGTATTGACTGCACAATGACTTGTTCATTTACTGTACAATTGCTTATGCTTGGGTTGATGTGCTGAACTCTTAATCCAATGATGCAAACAATTTTGATAAAAATTGTCTTCTCATGGAGTTTTTCGATTTTAGGTTAACATGATGAAAAAAATGTCCTTACAATTATCTTGATTCATTTACTTCTGTGCTATAGCTTTCAATAAACAAATATATTAGCATCATCTAGCTTCCAGTATCTCCACTTGCTATTTGACTCTGGGTTCGTTTTGTTGATAATTGCATGGGTCTCGCTTAATGTTTGATGGCGTATACATGTATTTTCTCGGTTCCGTGAATAGATGACGAGGTTTAGAGCTCCTTGAAACTAACATTCAACATTCGAATGCCTGAGCTAGGTTAGGATATCTTGATTCTTTTATAACACTTTTTTGTTGCATTGTTTATATATTTATGTTGCGGAGCTAGACATTTTTTCTTCTTTTAAAATGTTGGTCAACAACAAATAAAGAAAGATACTTACATTTCCGGGGCAGCTGGTCTAACTTCCGGTTTTGTGGGAGTTGATTTTGTACGAGGTTTATTATTCTTATTTATCATTTCTTCACATGTGTGTTGTACTGTTTTGTGTTATATACTTATTGTTCGATTTTAAATACTGTCTCTGATACAACAACTTTATTTATTTTCTTAAAGGGGCATTAGCTGTTAAATTCATGATTACCGATTTGACTTAAATTCTCATATTTGATTTATAACATACTAAAACGTAAATCCACATTACAAAAAGTCCACTGAAATCGGAACAGTTAACAATGCATGGCCTCTTTATAATGTATCAGAATTTAGTACGTAGTTTAGACTCTATGCCATCTAATCACCCCGTATAACTCCGATACAAATGAATCCGGACGTTGACGCGTTCGAATCAAACACATCGTGTACCACGGAGTTCAGACAGAGAAGAATGAATAATTTTAAGGAAATTCCAAGATATTCTTTGAATATTTTGCGTCAATATATTCTTTTCTGTATTACTCATCTCTTATTGCAAGGCTTTTCAAATATTTTATATCGTTATAGGCAAATATGAAAAAGCGCACGGCCTTGTCACTGATAAAAGCATGCTCACTATCTTTAATAGTTATAAATTTCAGGTTTCCCGTGCCTCATATCTTTTAAAACATATATTTTTGATAATATTATAGTTAAGACTTATCAAATTTGTAAAGACTTTAGGTTTTTGTGTTATCTAGAAATAAAAAAATGCATGCTTTTACATGTCTTTATTTTCAAATTGTGTACGCTTCGTTATCTGTACACTTTTTTATACTGTACGATTTGTTGCGAAAACATTGTATTTGTCATATGAATTTTGCATATATTAAAACATGTTTTCATATGTGGATAACAAAACACATGTTAAAAAATGATTTACCACCATAAGCCAACATATAATCTCCGTTGCATAGTTGAAATACACTTGGAAGTATTTGAGTTCTTTTGTACATGTAAGAAGTGTCATAATCAATATGAAAGTGTAAATTGGTTGGAAAATACAATCGATCGATAAAGTACAGATATCACTGGCTGAGCGTACGGATTGACGCATGCGACTTTCCATTTGATAACATATTTTTAAACGTTTACCGTACGACATTCAACCATAAGCAAATCCCCTACCGTATAGGATGAATAAACATGAGCTAATTATAAAAACAAGAGGCCTGATTTATAATACAACAAGAAATGAAAACAATCAAAACATGTCAGACAGCAATTAAAAAAATAATGGATTATAGGCTCTTGACTTGGATCAGATTGTTTTACTTTTGCGCAATTTCTTTAATAGGTAACGCAGGTAAATATATAGATAATTCATAATAAATTTGTCTAATGTTATTACTTTTAAACATATTTATCATTTTGAATTATACATTTTCAATACTGAATTCTCAAAAATTATGTTAAGTTAAAAAATCCAACTCAACTGTGTGTTTGTTTATTCCACATTGGCTAGAGTCTTAGGGGGAAGTTGAGATCTCAGAAAATATGTTTAACCCCGTCACACTTTTGCGCCTGTCCCAAGTCAGGAAATAGCCTTTGTTAGTGTTTTTTTTAGTTTTGGTTGGACATTATGTTTACACTTAGAAATTCATGGGCTCGTTAACGGTTTTGCCCGCAGCTATCAAAAATTCAAAAATTAAATTTTAATAAATTTTGTAACTTATAGGTTACCATTTTGTAGCTTCCTTCATGACCTTTATTATCAAAGGAAAATGAAACGTTTTTAAGGTAAGTATTGCTGACACTCTCCAGAAAAATTTATGGGTCCGCCCCTGTCAATGATACCGGTAAATAATGCGGCGGTGTTAAACATATATGCAAGTCAATCCTAAACACAACCTAAGACACATAAGATAAGAATTGACTATAAAACAGTTGGAAAGGACTTGCCTCATCATCTAATGCATTCGGCAAACAATGTTCAGCAAGCTCATCTGGTTGTTTTCGTTTAGGGGAACTTAGACCAACATCTGTATTTGAGAGAGGCTAAAAATCGTGACAGTAAGAGATATAGAAGTTTGAGTGGCTGTAGTATATATATTTAACTTTATTTTATCTGGAATAACGTGGAAATTCCTAGACTTCAATACAAAATTGCCTTCAGATGTGTGCTGGATAAAACATTTCAAAATTTGGCTTTGGATGACAGATAATTTCATGGTTTACTACTTCGACAAGAGTTACAGATGCAAATGTACAATTAAACTCAAAAAAAAGGTACTGCTGCGATAATGAATACACTAAAAAGACAAGGATTTGTGACGTTTTCTGTCAACGAATTGTACAGTGATTATTTGTAAGAGAGCAACGAACTTGACATATTTGGTGAAACGAACGATACAGTATAAGATGAACTTATTTAGAACGATATCGTGTTTATTTGGATTTCTAGGGAGCATTTGAAGGCACGTGTTAATATTACGTGAAGTTATTTATCATTGCTCAAAGTATTGCTACACAAAAGTTAATGTAAGAAAAAATATTGAACAATGTTTACCTCATAAAATGTAGAAATTGCACCATGCCTGCGCGTTTTGCATCTAGCATTTTTTCTAATGTTTTTTACAAAATATGAAACTTACAACAACTTTATAATTGAATAGATAAACTACCATGTTCACGTACACATTGATATATACTCACGTCAGTTCTAGAAAGGCATTCGAAATTGTTTTCATCCCAAATGTTGTCCTGATTATCGCTTCGAACGCGTCAACGCCCGGATTCATTTGTATCGGGGTTATACGGGGTGCTAATTAACCGTCGAGATTATCTCCGAAGACTTCCGATAATCATTCGACCCAATTTAAACATATCTATAAATATACATACACTAAGAAGCACGTGGAGTTGTGTAAATCGTGGTTTCACCTGGATATGAATGATATCTTGTGGCCCGAATCGGTATAAGAAATGTATTTTTTTCGTGGCTCCTTTGTTTCACTTTCAATATTGACATTCTTTTCTGTTTAATAACTTAAAAAGCATAGGGCATGCGTAACCCATCTTCAGCTAAAGGGAAAGTAAGGGTTACATGAATTCGGGTTCAACTGAGGTTGAATTATTGACCTACAAGTCAATAACACATTTGCGATGTTTTCGATCTTATTTTGACCAAATTGAACCAAACTGACTGCTTATAGCGAAACATTATTTCATTATTCCGCATTTATTGTAACTGTTTGAAAGGGAAAAAAATCTATTTAAATTTTTTGTCTAAATGGCAGCTAATGCCCCTTTTATCAATTTATCTGATTTATATACGACGAATGTTTTCTCTACCAAATCTAATAGCAGCAACGTTATACAGTAACATGTGTGTAAACTAACCTTACATTCAGCAACTTTTTATTGTTCCGAATGGCGGAGCCCCTAAATAGTCTCTCGAATAACCAAACAATTAAGTTCAGTTCCAACACAGTAAAAATCAAAGCAATGTCAACAAAACAGCACAACAACTATAGCTACTAGGATCGTGCATTTTGGAACATGCATTTCAGAAGAAGTGGAATCAACTATGTGGTAGCACTATAAACCCACTAGAAACGGAAGCTTACCCTATGAAAATTGTTAGCATACTAATATCCTAAGATTCAGCTAAATATCTACATATATAGATTTCTATGTAAACACTATTTTATTAGTTTATTCTCTATGTCACACTGATTTGTTTGAAAATCATTTACACATACCCTTTGGATAAGTTTAGCTGATAAAAAAAAATAACAGTCATTATCAGAGTTGATGTTTTGAGGAGGTTTCTGAAGGAAAAGTCACACTTCCATAAAACTATTAGAATGAAAAAATGACGCTTTGGACAACTGATATATACCTAATGGAAACTTCGAAAGGCACCGAAGCATACCTGATGCAAATGAACCCTTTTAACAAATGTATAACACATTTATATATTACCGCCTTCGAGTTATCCTTATCTGAACGAAACACAAATCCTATACCCACGAATCACTTACCAGGAAATGACAACGCTCCATTCTGTTTTATAGACCTTTCGAAATCCTCTCGTTTTGTCGTAATGATATACACCTTCAGCAATTTGGAGGCAGAAACAGAAAGTTTGCAGACCCTTGTAAGCAAAGCATGGCAACGGGACCTTGAGCTCTTTTCACAAAAAATGTATCGGAAGCTATACTGACATGTTCATGACTTTCGAGTATTTTTTCTCCTAAGAATCTTTGTGAAATGAGTCGCAGTATTTTAATTAGATCGTGGTAGTATGTGCACTTACGTCTTTTTCTATAACAATATATTATCAAAGATACTATCACAGCAGCTAGTATGCATACCACGATACTTGAAACTACTGCTGCAATGGCTGTTGCATCTGAAAGGGGGAAAAAATAAATTAAGTTAAAAGAATATTCATGCTGGTATATTCTTATATTACCTAGTGTTTTATATATAAACACTTAAAATTATTATAATTTAGCCAATATAAAAATAGCACAAATTTTTAATTTAAATTTTGTGAAACCATTGCTAATATATAGCTCTAGAGCTAAACAAAACAATAAATAAGGTTAACATATTCGAATAGCGTTATTCGCCCACATTACAGTATCAGGTTTTTACTGCAGACTACCAAAATTTGAGCACATGGCTTAGCTGTCGTCATGTTAGTTCACCTGGTGTGACAGGCCATGTGAGTAATTGCCGTCATTTTGCGTTAATGTCAGTCGTCCCTATATTTTTCATATGTTTAACTTCTTTAACCACTTGACTAATTATAACATAACTTGGCAAGAACGGTGTATCGAAGGTCCTATAAAAACGATCTTCATTTTGGTTCTGATTGAACGCAAAATATGACCGTCAGGGGCAATCATCGACTTTGAATGACTACATCATCAAATGTATAGATTTACAAAGAACATGGCCAAAATTTTCAAAACTCTTCCCTGAAATTTCAAGGCAGAAGTTTTTGACATTTATGGTATTAATTGTTGTAAAAATGTACTCGTTTCACGTTGATCGGGTGGTAAACTTAGCGGCTTTGATGTCACACAGGTACAGAGGAATCTGTATGGAAAGTCCCATTAGCATCTTCTCTGAAACCTCTAGGCAATGTTTACAAAGGATACTCCGATTCGAATCAATTTGAAAAGTAATTTATTATTTTCCAATTATATTGTAAAAATCTTCAATTAAATTGCAATTACATTCAGACATATTCGTCCTCATCATTGTCAATTGTTCTGCTTGTATGGAGTACCCTAAAGGCTCTGTTCGTGTTCCCCTTTTATTTTCAATTGTATATTAATGATATTGCCGAAAATCGACTTTCCCTGACTAGACTGTTTGCTAATGATACATCATTGGGATATTCCACCTCCACTGAAGATTGGAGACTTAGAGGTAGTAATTAAAGGGAAACTTCGCAAAAAAATGAAAAATTGACATTATGTTTATTCGTAAGAAATATTGCAATATGCATACAATCATTAATATTAACGTTTTATTCTTCTGGATAAGTGATCAAAATAGATTTTTAAATCCGACTATCAATTTTCGACATGACGTCGTCTTGACAGCCTCTCGATACAAATTTACCACGTGATATCTAAATACCACAAAGTCGAAAAACAAGAATGACATACCGAAGTTTCATTCAGTGTCAAAATGAGGTATATGGTAAAACTACTTTAATTCATTCTGGGTTGATCCCTTATTTGATAAATCGGCATGGCTTAATAAATTAATGCCAGATAATCGTGTAGAAGTGGCACATGCGGATATTCTAACGACTACCTGTGGACCTTACAAATTCAACATTACGCAATGCGGATATCCATGCATCGCTTTCCTGCTGAGTGAACCAGGTGTGCACAGGTAAAATTTATAAAGCATGCCATGCCAAATGATGTCAGGTGAATATATATGTACATCCTGTGTAAAACTTTCTGTCCCGACTGATAGTAATATGCAAGATATGAAATCATACACATATCAAATTGGGCGCATGTCGTTTAATTAACACACTGTTTACGAACGACATGTTTAAAGAAAGAAAATTAATTTGTTAATGAAACGAAACAGCTGAAAATAGAAATGAAAAGAATTTTTTGATACATTTTCTTACTATTAAATTTGGAAAGAAAAAAGTATAAACTCGATATCAATAAATATGGACATTTTGAAAATCTTATGACAAATTTCGTTCAACATATCGATTTTAATATTTGACATAAGAGCACAGATGCATATATTCATTGCACACAAATGTCAGAAAGTCGACATAAGGAAAACGGATAGAAAGTCACTGACCGCAACATCACAACTAAAAATTCTTTTGTTTGCAAATATATAAGAGAAACTTCTCGTTCTTTTTATTACATCAGTCTATTCATTTAAAAGTACAAAACATTTTTATTACCATTGTTTATTGAAGATTTATAAAATTTTAATCGTACGAGGGCACCATGAAGCCAATTTGAAAGCTTGTTTTCTTTGTGATTGTTTAAGCATTATTCATTATTTACAAATAATTTTTTTGTTTTTAATGGGGGATAATAAATTCAAAACATAAAAACTTGATTCACATTTTATTGTTAATCTCAATTATGTGATTATCTGTATTTCTTGTGTCGAAATCTTCTTCACTAGAGGGACTGGAAACCCTCAGTACTTTCACTCTCTGAACAAGATATTTTTAGGTATGATAGTATGGGACAATTCTACAGACCTTATACAAAACTTGTTATAAAATAGACGCTCCAATCATATGAAAACACAAATGTGAGTTAATCTGATGAGCAAAATTGGCACCATTTGATCACGAATTGATTTCGTAAACTATAAATGAAACTTTATTATAAAATAAGCTTGTATTTATAATTTATTATATTATTGAGATAAACTGTCTTTTGTTTTCGGTTCAATTACAATTAGGCAAAGTACCTCCAAAAAAAGGAGAATGCTAAAATATTTGTGCAATCTTTGTGTATTAAACTGGCACTTCTGTCTTATAATCCGAGATGTTATTCACACCTGGAGCGGTTAACGCTTGAGGCTTAAATGCACTCGGGTGAAAATCAAAAGAATAGATTTTCAGACAGTCGATCTTTTAATTACCGTGAATTAACCACGCCTTCACGAGGTATTGTCAGAGAATAATACACATATTTACACAACCCAAGAGGGGAAAAGTTTGCTAGAATTAAAATGTCAGAAAGCGAACATTTATTGTCTAACACCACAGTATCAGTTATATAAATTATGTTTGTGTAACATATCCTTTTAAAAAACATATTTCATAGAAAAACATTTTAATACGATTCACTTTTAGCACATTTAACATATAAAATATCAGAAATTTATATCGGCCTTTACCATAGGAATTTTAACTAACGAAAATTAAAAGAGTTGCACGTCTGTTCGTTGTACTTTCTTATTTTAAGTTGGTTATAGGCTTTACAAAACGGTCATCGACGCGCTTTAAATTACGTAAAAAACAAAAACGATAAGAGAACAAGACTTTAAATGAAATTAATTTCACTCCCGGCATGCCCAAGACTAAAAATACGTCGCAATAGACTGGTAAATTCCAATAAATGAAATTAATAATTTTCAATTTTCTTTTTTATTCGTATTCATATAAAGATAAAACTTGGTGAATATGTTTTTAATGTTATTATGAACATATCAAGATGATAAGTCAAATATCGCGAAGTTTCCCTTCAACGGTGAATTAAATGCACTAAATATATAAGTATGTGTCCTCAAAGAGGCATTTATTACGATTTTGACAAACATTTAAAAAAAAAAAAGATTTCAAACATTTATGAAAGTGGAATACTGAAATGGTATTTTTAAATTAGCAGTCAGTTTGGTCAAATGTTATACATGATAAGTTTGAAAAAAAACATCACTAATTTATTATTGTCAATGATTCAATCTCATTTGAATCCGTATTCATGCGAACTTCAATAAGACCCTTAGCTGGAGATAGGTTGCGCATGGGCTAAGCATGTTAAGTTATTAAAAAAAAAAAGAATGTTAATATTGAAATGTGAAACAAAGAAGCCACCAGGAAGAACAGTTTCGCTGGCTGATTCGACCCACAAAGCACAAACGAGGTAGAACCATTTCGCTGACTGATTTGACCAACAAAAACATTTTTTTATACAGCTAGAATGATGTTTTGTATATATATATATATTGTTGAGTATGTGACATGAAATCAGACAGACATAGAAATTTCTTCATTAAACGATTGTACGTGCTTGTATTTATATTTATATTTATGTTTCCATCTGATCATTTGATCATCGGCATTCTTTGGAGGTCATCTCGATTGTTAGTAAGATACCGTATATAGAGAATATCATATGGCTTTTTCAATATCACATCCGTATCAACCCGAGACACCAATATAATCCCAAGAGCTCTGCTCGAGGGATTATATTGGTTGAGGGTTGATACGGTGTGTGATATTGAAAAAGCCATATCATATACACTTTATTATATACATATACCTCACGTAGATGTTTTTTTATGTGACATGACGTCATACAGATAGGGAGGTTTGAAATGACGTCATACATATTATAGGTTTGATATGACGTCATACAGATTAGGGGTTTGATGAAGCCTTTGCAACAGTGACTGCAATCGATGACGTGACGTCATACAGATTAAAGGTGTGATAAAGCCTTTGCAACCGTGCTGATATCGATATCATCACGGGTGGCTGATACAGCACGCTTGCCTATGATTGTATTACACATACAATTTATCTGTATTTACTACTAAGTATATAATAAAGTCTTATATACACACGAAATGATGATACATTAAAGCAAGTCCATGAATTGTAAATCGTTTTTTTTTTTACTTTTTGTAATTTGGATATACGTTTTAGTATGTTATACGATACATTGGCATGAAAATATGGATATTGTTTTGATCGTAATTTACAATTTAAAAGTTTTAGAAATCATTTTAAATTAAGGAATATCTCTATCATGCAAAGCTCTGATTCCTTGTCCGGTTTGATTACACTTTTAAATTAGGTCATTTTGGTTTACCAGCTCTTTAACGTTTGTATAAAGTTTTGGTTTTTCAAATTTTTTGGTCTCGAGCATCACTAAAGAGACATTATTTATCGAAATGCGCATTTGGTGCAGTAAAATTGGTACCGTTTATATTATAACTACTAACTATGGAACATATCTCTTTCATGCAAAGCTCTGATTCTTTGTCCGATCTAGGCTTAACTTTGGGTCCTTTGGTTTATCATCTCTTCAACGTGTGTATGCGGTTTTGGATTTTCAAATGTTTTGGCCTCGAGCATCACTGGAGAGACATTATTTATAGAAATGCGCA